TATATATACTTTGATCATATATATAATATATATATATGATCTAAGTATATATAATTTTATTTTTTTACACTTTTAACTTATTTTACTTTTATTTTCAGCCAGCAGGGGGACCCCCTGTAATTACAGGCAGCCCCCCTGCTGGCAATACAGAAGCCAGCTATACCCGGCCATGTGATTGTGGGGTCCTCGCTAGGACCCCACTCTCACACGGCCGGGGGCTTCCTGGAGGACGGTCGTGCCGCGGGGGGCTCCCTGGGAGTCCCCCCCACCGCGATCGCCGGCGTGGGACCGCCGGCGACCGGGTAAGTACAGAAAGACCGGAGGGCGTACTATTACGCCCGGCGGCGTTTAGAGCCGCCTATTAGAGGACGTAATAGTACGCCCTGCGGTCTTAAGGGGTTAAGATCATAGTTGACAAAAAACTTTTCATGCAAGGCCCTGATGGACTCAGGTGCAGCAGGAAATTTCATTGATGTTCATTTTGTTAAAAAGAATGCTATACCTATCAAGGAGAGAATATCACCTCTTGCCGTTGAGGCTATTGATGGGAGACCACTCTTTTAACCCTTAATTACCCATGAAACCTTGCCCATTAACATGCCTTACATAAGGAATATATAATATTCCAAGTTATTGCATCTCCTTCTTGCCCTATCATATTAGGCTTTCCTTGGCTTGGTAAGCACAACCCTCATATCGACTGGGCTAATGGGGAAATATTGGAATGGGGAAAGGATTGTAATGGGAAGTGTATGTTACACCTCACCAAGAGAGTGGGTACCATTAAATTACCCACTACTACACCTCAAACCCCCGAAGTTCCCATACAATACCGGAAGGTTAAGGAAGTATTTAGTAAGAGTCAGTCCAATATCTTACCTCCTACAGGACTGCTCCATAAATCTGTTACCCGGCGCTATGCCACCTAAAGGGGCAGTATATGCCTTATCGCCACAGGAGAGTAAAATAATGGAAGAATATATCAAAGACTCAGTAAACAATGGCCATATACGGAAATCATTCTCACCTGCTTTTTTGTAGAAAAGAAAGATGAAGAATTACGTCCATGCATTGACTACAGAGCATTAAATAAGATTACTGTTAAGAATGCCTCTGCTATTCCTCTCATTTGCGAATTGTTTGATAGACTCCAGGGTGCTAAGATCATTACCAAACAGGATCTCAGGAGTGCATACAATTTGGTAAGAATCAAGGAAAATTATGAGTGGAAAACGGCATTTAACACTAGATGCAGGCACTATGAGTACCTTGGTATGCCTTTTGGGCTATGCAATGCACCGGCTGTATTCCAGGATTTTATTAATGATGTACTCAGGGATTATATCTATTCATTTGTCCTGGTTTATTTGGATGATATCCTTATTTATTCCCCTGACCTTCAAACCCACCACAAACAGGTCAAACAAGTATTGCAGACTTTACTGGAAAACAAACTTTATTGTAAATTGGAAAAATGCTTTTTTGATCAGACTGAAGTACAGTTTTTGGGGTATAACATTTCTGCCTCTGGTTTTCAGATGGACCCTAAGAAACTAGAGGCTGTTATACAGTGGCCAGTACCTAGCGGACTAAAAACCATGCAAAGATTTATTGGGCTTGCGAACTATTACAGAAGATTTATGAAGGGGTTTTCTTCTGTAATAGCCCCCATCACCAATATGACACGTAAGGGGTTTGTAGTACGGTATGGTCTAAGGAAGCTAGAGAGGATTTTGAACTTCTTAAACAAAGGTTTGCTTCTGCTGACATACTGAGACACCCTGACACCAGCAAACCCTTCATATTGGAAGTCGATGCCTCTGAAACTGGAGTAGGGGCGGTTCTTTCTCAAAGGGAGAGTCAGGACACCGCTTTGCATCCTTATGGTTACTTTTCCAGAAAGTTGTATCCCACTGAGCGCAGTTATGATATTGGCAACAGAGAATTGTTGGCCATTGTCCTAGTGCTTAAAGAGTGGCAACATCTTTTGGAAGGTTCCAAGGATCCCCTTTTGATCATTATGGACCATAAGAATTTGGCTTATATAGGGGATGCTAAACGTCTATCTTCTAGACAGGCTAGAGGGTCTTTGTTTCTGTCTCGCTTTAACTTCCTTATAACTTACAGACCTGGTCCCAAAAATGTGAAGGCTTATGCCTTGTCTAGACAGTTTGATACTGAGTCTTTACAGGAACACGAGACATCCCCTATCGTGCCTCCTGAATGTATCATCGCTTCCGCTATAATGGAGGCTCAGTCTCAGGCACCATGCAATAAACCACTGGACAAATTGTTTGTTCCATTAGGTGAAAGAATGAATGTGCTAAAGGTGTTCCACGACAATGTGACTGCTGGACACACAGGTATCAATAAATCCATATCTGCGATCACGAGATCATTTAGTGGGATTCCCTTAAAAACGATGTAAAGGACTATGTGCAGGCTCGTTCAGTTTGTGCCATTTCTAAGGTCCCTCATAAGCTTCCTTGTGGTTTGTTGCAACCACCTCCTGTACCTAGTGTTCCATGGTCCCACTTGTCAATGGACTTCATCGTTCTTATGGTGGTTGACCGTTTCTCCAAGATGGCTCATTTTATTCCACTTAAAAAATCGCCAACCTCTCAAGACCTGGTTCTTATCTTTATACGTGAGATTGTCCGACTGCATGGCATTCCTCACAATATTGTGTCTAATAGCGTCTCTCAGTTTGTGTCTCAGATTTGGAGGGCGTTCAGTAAACAGTTCGACATTGAATTGTCTTTTTCTTCTGCTTACCATCCCCAAACTAATGGTACGGCTGAGAGGGCTAACCAGTCATTAGAGTTATATCTGCGTTGTTTTGTAAAAAGCACTCAAGATAAATGGTCCGAATTACTACCAAGGGCCGAGTTTGCTAGGAACAACGCTACCCATGACTCTTCTGGTCACAGCCCATTCTTTGCTAATAACGGTCGTCATCCTACTGTCCTACCGGCTGTTTTCTCTGAGACAACTATACTTGCTTTGGATTATCGCCTTTCTTCTATCCATGATATTTGGACCAAAGTTTTCCAGTCTCAAAACTGCGGCTAATTGCTTCAAGTTCTATGCGGATAAACCGCGGGGTGCCAACCCCGTTTACCAAATGGGTGACAGGGTATGGTTATCATCGCGCAACATCAAATTGAAAGTTCCTAGTATGAAGTTTGCACCCAGATTCCTGGGCCCCTTTCGTATCCTTCGGAAGATTAACCCTGTGTCATATTCTCTGGCCCTCCCGGCCTCATTACGTATTCCTAATGCCTTTCATGTGTCGCCACTCAAACCTCTTGTTTGCAATAAATATACTGTCTCAAGTGTCCCTCCTCCTCCCTTAGTTGTTTCTGGACAGGAAGAGTATAATGTCTCTTCCATAATTGATTCCAGGTTTTCTCGGGGCACTTTACAGTACAGGTGGATTGTAAAGGTTATGGACCAGCCGATCGTTCTTGGATTCCGGCATCTGATATACATGCTGGGCGCAAGATTCACTATTTTCACGCCAAGTTTCCTCTCAAGCCTGGTCCTGCCCGCCCTGTGGGCGTTCTTCAGCTGGGGGGTAATGTCACGTGTTCATCCGCATATAAAAATGTGATTAATGACATTTACTGTTTTGACAGGAAAAGTTGTGCCGAGCAACATTACTGTCCTGACAGGAAAAGTTGTGCCGAGCAGCAATCAAATCCACAGGAGGGTTTGTGCTGAGCAGCAATTATGCAAATGGAAACCTGATTTTTACTTCCCTGTATTCTTGTATCCCTGACTTCTGGCTTTCCCTTATCTTTGTGTCTCTTTTTGTATCCCCTGACCTCGGCAAGTATCCTGACTACTCTTTGGTACGTTATGTCTGGCCATTCTAAGGCCCGGTAATACGTTACCTATTAGTCATCTGTCTGACACAATTCTACGTGCTGATCAACTAGTAATCCTGACATGCCCATACATATAAGGTGTCTAGGATTATTATTATGCATACAGAAATGTGATGAAACAGAGTGTTTTTTAAAATCCTTTTTCGATATTTCAGCAGTGTTTTGCTATTCTTACTTTTAGTAGTCTGATTGTTATTCCTATATATTGGATGCCACGTGGGCACTCCAATAAATAGATAACATTTTTACTATTACCCAATATTGTATCTTTTACATTATAAACTTTCCCAGTTCTATTAGATTTAAATGTTATTCTTAATCTTTCTTTAGTTTTGGTTTGTCTGCAAGCTAAAAACTCGGGCTTATATGGACTTACCACACTTCTGATGAAGCCTTTGAAGCGACGAAACACGTAAAGTGGAGTCCAGTTTTAGTACCTTTTTATTGTTTTCATCCCTTATATATGTAATAAAAGGGATGAAAACAATAAAAAGGTACTATATCGCTTAGTTCTTACAGTCTTTCGGTATACGAATGACTCCATGGGAAGGCTATCTGGGTTAAGTCTTTTCGTATGCTCCAAACCTTCCGAATGGCCGGTATTCGTATGCTTTCGTGGAGACAGCCAGGCGTTCCATTGTTTCAGCGGTGTTCAGCAGAAAAAGTTTTGTTTTTAGTTCCATAGAAATAGAGCCAAACACCGCTGAGCTTTTGCGTGGTTTAAAATGGCCGCTGCCTCATGGTCGACATACGAACGACGACCACCCTGAATTCGGTTTAATTGAGAAGTGTCTGTGGTCAGGGGAGGGCTGGCAGCCTTAGTCCTGGGGGGCAATCCCAGTCAAGTGGCCCATTGGACCACCGAATCAGCTCACCATCCACGCCCACCTTTTCCTTGTTTTATAACGGATATTGATGTTATGAAGCAAGACAAATATGATACAATGTGGTTTAACATAATTTATTTGTAATGGCAAAAAATTATGTTTAACAAAAATAAAATCTACAGTTTTAACAAATGAACAATGTATGGGCACAATACACTTTTTCAAAAAATACAGAAGCCAGAGAAAGAAATATCTGTATAAAACTTTTAAACTAAATATTTGATCAAACGGTTAGCAAAGACCTCATCAAGGTAGAACTTTGACGAATAATTTCCAATACATCTGGAAACTGAACCTGTTCCAGAAGATCTCTCTCCACTGACATGAGCATTAGAGCATCAAGCAGTTCTTGTCCCATTGTGGCTCGCAGTCGGGTCTTGATGAGTTTAAGCTTGTTGAATGCTCTCTCACATGACACTTGTGTAAAAGAAAGGGTCAACAGGTACTCATAGGTGATAGAAAGATTTTCATAAGCTGCAGAATAAAGGTTGTATTTTATCAACAACCTGTGGCAGCAAAGAAAGCACTGCTTGCAAGAACCACACTTTGATTCCTTTTGTACCTCAACTAGTTTGTCAGTAGGTGGAATCCAGTCAATCTCCTCCTCCTCTTCCTCCTCCTCCTCATCAATAATTATTTCCACTTTCTGTGTCTCATCTTCAGAAAGACATCCTGTAAGACTTGGAAATAAGTTGGCAAAACTTATTAATTCAGTTTTGAGAGAACATTCATTTACTTTGGCTAACTTAGAAATTCTCTCTAGTGCCCCTCCATCTAGCACTTTGGGATCTGTCCTAATTTTCTGAAAAGTGCGAGGATCCAAGTAGTGGGAATCCATGACCAATTGCTTATTTTCTGAAAATCTCTCCGTCATGCTTTGTATGATTTGGTCCAGAATTGGTCTGAACACACTAGCTCGAAAACATTGCATTTCATCTTCAGGCCGTTCATCATGTGAAGATTCTCCAGCCAAGCGTTTCTTTCGTGCCACTCTTCGAACTGGAAGCATAGTCTCGACTTCCAAGGAGTTGAGAACATCACTTTCATCCATTAACTCGTTTGTTTTTATTGCAAAGTGTTCAGCCTTTTGTTTTAGATTGTTGAAATCAATTTTCTTCAGTTGCTCCACTGCACGTTCGACCATTTGCCATGCTACCTTGAAGTCAAGGCCACTGGTTTGTAGATACTTTGACACTGGCCCTATAACATCAAAAACCTGTAAAAATATGTTTGCTGTTAGGATAATCCTAAACTGACAAAGATTGTGAAAAAGGGATGAGGCCTCAGAAGTGGTTTTTGATTCAAACAAGTTACTCTGGGAAATTACATATAAAACTTCAAGGGTGTCAAAATAAAGAGAATGTTTTTCACCAAAAATCCAGTTAAGGGCTTTTTCTTTTGCCCACCATCTTGTCTCTCCAATTTTTTGTAACTTTAAAAGTTTTTCCTGTCCATGTCTTCTATCCAGTTGGTCTTTCCAGATATTCATTCTTTTGTGTGAGTCTCCAATAAAGGTTGCCAAGCGATTTAGGAGACCAAAAAAATTTTGGCTTCCAATACTTGACAGCAATCTGAGACACACAGGTTAAGGATATGACTATAGCACCAAATATAAACCGCATCTGGCACTACCTTTGCAATCTGTGCACGTAGTCCCACATACGCACTCCTCATATTTGCTGCACCATCAAATGATTCACCAGCAATTCTTTGGAAATCTAATCCAAGCATATCAAAACAGTACATTAGAAGTTCGTGAAATCCTTTTCCTGTAGCGTCTTTAACAGGGAGAATCGCCACAAGCCGTTCTTTAATGGCTTCATCTTGCACATATCTCACAACTACTGTTGCTTGATCTACAATTCCAACATCTTGTGTGGAGTCAACCTGTATACTGAATCGTTTCTCTCCGATTTCAGACACAATTAAGTTTTTCATGCTTCGAACTATTGCTGCAAATACTTTCTTTATTGTATTATTGGACAAAAATGTCACAAGAGATCCACGTCCAGTTGAATGTTTTCCTGATGTTTTTCTGTCTTTCAATCGCTGTTTTCTTTTTTCACTGTCCTGAACACATTTATCAAGGTGATTTTTAAGAGGAATATCATACTGTGATAGAAGTAGGACAATTTCCAGAAAGTTCCCGTGGTTTATTTCAATGTTATTTAAATTGTACAGCGATTCATTAGTGCCATGGGCACGAAATGGCAATCCCTGTTTTCCGAGGAGTTTTACAATATTAAATATACGGTTTAATACCTCAATATTTTGTAGTATCTCCTTCTTTCTTCTGGAGACTTGAGCCTGATTTAATAACGTGTCAATGCTTCTATTCGTTTTCATGGTAAAATAAGCACTAACAGCATCAGAATGACTTTTTGAAGATTCGTGCTTATTTGCTGCCTGATAGCAATGGCGAAAATTAGAACAACCACTAGTGAACGAGGAAGAGGAATTAGAAAAGGCAATGCATATGCTGCAAAAAAATGCTTCTAACTTTCGATCCTTTATCTTGCAACTCAGCCATGTACGCTTAATACGATCCCCATTAGACTTTTTGCGGTAATAAAAGTCTGCTTCTTGAAAAGGAAGATCTGCGCATTCAGTCCTGGTTGGCTGAAAAGGGTGTTTTTCAACAAAATTAATTTTTTCTGCTATGGAGCATGCAGGAGGAAGACTAAAAGATATTTCTGATGGATCATTTATAACGCTTCCTGACATGTCTTCAGATGTGATACATTCTAATTCAGGAAGGTCTTCAAAAACATCTGGGTCATTTATCTGCGCTTGTTCTCTGCATTCTGACACCAGCTCCTCCTCAATCACCTGTTCTTCTGCTTGTGGGCTCACCTCATCTTCGACGGACACAACCGGCCTGCTTGAAGGAGCACTTGGGCCAGCAGAAACCTCATCAACAGGAATTCTTGGGTGTATACCACCAGCCTAAAACAACATTTTTTTTTTGTCAAACTATTTTAATCTCCCCAGAAAAGTTCTAGAGGTAACCAAGAAACTCCAGGAACTCCATGCACGGTAACAATAAAAAAAAAAAAAAAAACCTCATGCAAACAAAGGATATACAACTCATACTTACCTTACATAAGTAAAAATATATCTTAACAAAGTAAAACTGATCACTATGGAAAGTCAAGTATGCACACTCCTTGATAATCCATCATGAATCTTAACAAACGTAAAACTTCTTCATGCACATGCAAACAGACTACCGTATATACTCGAGAAATTTTAGTTGTAAGCTTCATTTTAAAACGCAGATCCACGGGTCCATGCTAGTTTCGATAGAATTTAGTTCACATTGAATGCGGGGCAATATCGAGTTACAGGTAGTGCTAGAGTACTTAGCTGTACGTTGACCCAGATACCGGGTACACACACGAACAACAGCAGGCTGATTTACAATACAGTGCAGCGATTGCTGATTACTGCCACCTATCTGTACGCTTTCCACGTCACTGTTGCAGCGGTGGCTGTAATGAGCCACAAGCAAGACCACTAGCTGGCGAGATAACCGAATGTGCCTTTGGAGCTGAGCGTGTGCACTGAGATGCAGAGGAGTAGTTACCATAACAGTTTGATTGTTCCAGGATCTTTGCCTAGGTAATATCTGACAAAATAATAAAAATCCCAGGATTTCATAGCCCCAAGTTTTACCCTCGACTTATCCACGAGTAATTTTACAATTGTTGGTCAAAAAACTGCTCTCGACTTATAGACGAGATCAACTTATAGACGAGTATATACGGTAGATATATTCATTCTTGTTATCAAAAGAGTGAATATACATTTCTGTGACATAAAATGTTAGAACTAGCCTTAACTTTTGAACTTTTAACATACCACCGAAAAAGATAGTTTCATTTGCTTAGGATCCCTTCCTGCTAACTCAAGTTCTTTGGACCGTTTTTCTCTCATTTTCTGAGCACCACCTTTCTCTTTAGATGTTGTTTTACTCTCCATATTTATCAATATGAAACCAACTGTAAAATTTATTTAACACCAAAACACGACAATGAGCTACATAAAAACAGCAAACATTTACTAATGTAGTGATTTAACTCCTAAATGGCAGATCTATACAGGGGCATAATCTATACACCAAAACTGTTCCATTAAGCAGGGGCATGATCTATACACCAAAACTGCTTCATTAAGCTAAAGTTGTTGTTTTGTTGACTAAAGTGTCCTTTTAAGTGATTATTTTACAATCACTTAGCGCACACCTCATCATGAAAGAAGATTGCAGATTTAGTGTCAGCCAGGAGAGACTGGCCAGTGGTCAATATATTTATGTTTAGTCAAAAACATAATGGTGGCACTTTGCAAATTGACATGTTCGGCAATGACACAAACAAAGGGCACGGGGAGAGACAGACATAGTGCCTGTAATTTACACGAATTCTATGCTCTGGGGACCAATATACAGCCTGCTTGCTGCCAGAGGTAAAAATGTACAAAGCAGCCTGGTGTTTTACACCCAATAGACAGCAGCACCTGTCGGTAAAAGCCAAATTAATCATCTTTATATGGACACAAAAACAAAAATATAATTTCACCTGGGAATTTGACAAATATAACTCAAAAAGACTATCTGCATCTGATCATTAAGTACATAATGAGCCTGACAACCCTGGTTTGAGAATCAGACCGTTTTAACTTGTCCGTTATAGCCATGTGTTTTAAAGAAGGGGTTTCATCTTGTATTAGTAGTGCCACAGCAGCGGCATGGAAGGCTTCAATTATATTTTTGTACTGGGAAAGACTGCCGGCTGTAAGTTAATATTGGTGAAGCACTGCAGCTCTCTGATGACACGGTTTAGGTGGCCGCGAGGCTCTTAACGAGAGGCCGTCTAAATCGCCTAATTAGAGAGACGCCTCTTGCCAAGAGATCTGGTCTCTGTGCAGCATATCAGTGTATCACTGAGCTCTACAGCAATAGAACTCACAGTAATGTGCAATTTGTAAGTATATCACACATCACTTCATCAATACAATGCACAGGACTGGGCAGTGTTTGAGTATATCTCAGCCAATCCACTCCTTTCCCATAGGAAAGCATTGAGAAGCTATTGTGCATTAGGGATCGACCGATATTGATTTTTCAGAGCCGATACCGATACCGATATTCTGTGAACTTTCAGGCCGATAGCCGATATAATTTGCCGATATTCTGTACATTTACCATTTTGGAAAATAAAAACTATTTCTAAAGGTAAATGCACAAAATATACATGCCACGTGTAGTGGATGCAGTGTGACAGGGGAGCTGTGTGTGTTTGTGTAGTGTGTGTGTAGTGGATGCAGTGTGTGTTTGTGTAGTGTGTGTAGTGGATGCAGTGTGTGTTTGTGTAGTGTGTGTTATGGATGCAGTGTGTGTTTGTGTAGTGTGTGTGGAGGATGCAATGTGTGTTTGTGTAGTGGATGCAGTGTGTATTTGTCTAGTGTGTGTAGTGGATGCAGTGTGTATTTGTCTAGTGTGTGTAGTGGATGCAGTGTGTATTTGTCTAGTGTGTGTAGTGGATGCAGTGTGTATTAGTGTAGTGTGTATATAATGAAAGCAGAGTGTTTGTGTAGTGTGCGTAAAGTGAATGCTGTATATACTAAATGCAAAGTGTGTGTGTATATAATGAATGCAGAATGTGTGTGTATTTGTGTAGTGTGTGTATAGTGAATGTAGTGTGTTTATATAATGCAGAGTGTGTGCTTGTATAGTGTGTGTATATAATGCAGTGTGTTTGTGTAGTGTGCATTATATAAACACACTACACAAACACACAGCATTATATACACACACTACACAAACACTGCATTATATAAACACACTACACAAACACACACTGCATTATATACACACACTACATAAACACACACCGAATTATATAAACACACTACACAAACACACTGCATTATATACCCACACTACACAAACACACACTGCATTATATACACACACACACACTATACAAACACACTGCATTATATACCCACACTACACAAACACACACTGCATTATATACACACACTATACAAACACACTGCATTATATACCCACACTACACAAACACACACTGCATTATATACACACACTGAACAAACACACACTGCATTATATACACACACTGAACAAACACACACTGCATTATATACACACACTGAACAAACACACACTGCATTATATACACACACTACACAAACACACACTGCATTATATACACACACTGAACAAACACACACTGCATTATATACACACACTGAACAAACACACACTGCATTATATACACACACTGAACAAACACACACTGCATTATATACACAGTGTGTTTGTGTAGTGTATGTGTATATAATGCAGTGTGTGAGGGGGCATTTTTTATTAAATTATAAAAAAAAAATTATATTTACTTTATTATTTATTTCTGTTGTCCCCCCTCCCTGCTTGTTACCTGGCCAGGGAGGGGGGATATGACAGTCCCTGGTGGTCAGTGGCATTGGCTGAGCTGGGGGGGGCGGAGACCAAGTGCTTACTCACCTCCCAGCAGCTCCTCCAGCTCCCCAGTGCAACTCTCGCGGCCAGCGTGTCACGCGGAGCGTTGCCATGGTGATCCATGGCAACGCTCTGACAGCCGCGGGTCTCGCGAGAGTTGCACTGGGGAGCTGGAGGAGCTGCTGGGAGGTGAGTAAGCACTTGGTCTCCGCCCCCCCAGGACCGCCGGGCTTGTAATGAGCCCGGCGGTCCCAGGAGGTATTATCGGCAATATCGGTATCTGAATTGGCCGATACCGATATTGCCGAGAATACAGAATATCGGCCGATTATATCGGTAAAACCGATAATCGGTCGATCCCTATTGTGCATGCATGGCAAAATGCTGCGCTGCACCAATCAGCAGCTCCTTACAGAGATGCATTGAATTAATGAATCGCTATGGGGAGTGTACAGCGTGGTGCTAATCATCAGCGCTGCACATTATGCAGCACTGACCTAGAAAGCACCTCTAGCGGCCATCTGAGGTGTGGCCACTAGAGGTGTTCCTAGGCTGTAATGTAAACAATGCTTTTCTCTGATAAGGCACTGTTTACATTAAAATGCCTATAGGGAATAACTATATGACACCAGATCAAAACACATTAAAGGACCACTATAGTGCCAGGAAAACATACTCGTTTTCCTGGCACTCTAGTGCCCTGAGGGTGCCCCCACCCTCAGGGTCCCCCTCCCGCCGGGCTCTGGAGAGAGGAAGGGGTTTCTTCCTCTCCTCCTTCCTAGTGACGTCATCGGGTAAATGCGCATGCGCGGCAGGAGCCACGCGCGCATTCAGCCAGTTCATAGGAAAGCATTTACAATGCTTTCCTATGGACGCTGGCGTCTTCTCACTGTGATTTTCACAGTGAGAAACACGCAAGCGCCTCTAGCGGCTGTCAATGAGACAGCCTCTAGAGGCTGGATTAACCCTCAGTGTAAACATAGCAGTTTCTCTGAAACTGCTATATTTATTAAAAAAAGGGGTTAACCCTAGCTGGACCAGGCACCCAGACCACTTCATTAAAGGGAAACTCCAGTGCCAGGAAAACAATCTGTTTTCCTAGCACTGGAGGGTCCCTCTCCCTCCCACCCCTCAATCCCCAGTTACTGAAGGGGTGAAAACTCCTTCAGTCACTTACCTGAGGCAGCGGTGATGTCTCCTCCTCTGCGCAGCTCCTCCTCTGTATTGCGTCGGCCGGTGGACGAGACTGATCCCGCCCACCGGCCGAGGAGACCTAATGCGCATGTGCGGCAATGCCGCGAATGCGCTTTAGCGCTCCCCATAGGAAAGCATTGAAAAATAATTTCAATGCTTTCCTATGGGGAAATGAGCGACGCTGGAGGTCCTTACACAGCGTGAGGACGTCCAGCGACGCTCTAGCACAGGTTTCCTGTGCTATGAAGGA